TACAATGGGAAATCTAACGAGTCCAGTTAGGGAAAATAATAGTTGTCGTCGGCTACGCGCTCGCTTTGTCACTGGACCCCGGGCGGACAAAGGCGCCGTCATCGTTTTTGACGATGCGCCGTCGGCTTTGAATAACCAGGAGCGACACAGGTGTCACGACAAGTGGTTCGCTCTGACAGCCGGTTATCGGTTATCGGTTATCGGCTATCGAGAACTTTCGAACTTTACTGCAGGTCCTTGACAAGACGGCGCGTCGAATTTTATCCGTTGACGTACCCCCGCGAATCGTCGATGTCGCTCTCGTTTGAGAGACCCGCGAGGGTTAATCAGCGAACTTCTGCGACGTGACGAGTTCCAAAAGGGACGTTAATCGCGTATCATCTTTATCAATCATCAAAATTTGACAGGTAGACGACTGTACCATAATAAACGTTTCGGTCGATTATCAAAATTCGAATTGGGAAATGTATATATTGCTTTGAAATATTATATCATTCTATTCACTTTATAATACATCGTCCTGTTTTCCTGAATTTGAGACGATTTATAATAAACTTTACAATAGAGTTTACAAATAATTAAATTAAATACTGTATTTCCGCACGAATCAGCCGCAAATGCGATAATTTATCGCGATATTATACGGTCGAATATACGGCCGAGTCATAATCGAGTGGACATAAGACTGCATACTTCTGCAGTCAACGAGACGCGCGCGGATCTGGTTTCACGGCTACCTCCGTGGAGAAATGGATGGCAGAAGGGACGGAGTTCTGGCGGTTACAGCGGGGCATGGAAACGCTGGAGGGATCAAGGGGTTGGGGCGGAGTTAGTTTCCGTGGCATTGACGTTCCACAATACAGCCCCCGATGCCGTTGACACCCCTATTTGCAACGACCCCGACGCAATCTCTGCCGTCGTCGCGCGAAACTGCGTACGCGAAAATGCGCCAAGGCGGATCTTATTCAGCCTCTTCCGGCTTCTCGACGCGCTTCCGGGCGACGCCCGGAAGCCTCCGTAGGGGGAGAGGACTCCGCCGTAGATCTGGCGGAGCACGAATTTTTTCGTGAGAAAAATTTTTATCTCTTTATTATTACTCGCGTTCTGTCTCTCTCTCTCTCTCTCGTTTGTATTGTGAACTGTGAAGGTTTAGAAGTTGAAAGATTTGGGAAACCAATTGTGAAGATGTTCTTTTATATTTTTTTAAACGAATGACCTCAAAATTATGACGACTTTCTGCGGATTCCTTTATAGCTTCTCTCCAACTCCGCATCGAAAGGGGGAAGCATTCGCGTAGTCACGGCAATAATAGTGGCGATCGATGATGAGATGCAGGTGTAACGAGTGTTCGTGGTGTAACCTGACGGTATCTTGAAGCTCCCTCTCGATCCATGATCGATCGCGTCTCCTTTGGAGACGCGCTAATGGCCTCGACAAGCGTTACGATTGTAACTCCAATATCCTACCAGTCAGCGGGAACGGGGCGGCTGCGAATTCGTCGCGTAAATTCTATTATCGTGCGGCTTATCGCGAGTATTCGTAGTACAATGGATAATATCGGTCGCTTATACCGTCCTCGAACGACCGTAAGCGTCGATCGGTGACGTCACTATCAGTTGTTTCCGCCTCACCAGGCACCACTCCACGCCGTCCCGGCAAGATGGCGTCGGTTCACCGGCGCGATTCGCTCGCATATGCACCCGCGGAGATTTAGTGTGTTGCAAAAAATGGGGGTGGGAATGGTAAAGATCTGTCTGCAAGCGACAACGTGTTCAACGCGGCGAGCGGTTTAATCTTCAAACTGGGGAACAACGCGCAGTTTACTTTCGATGATTTTTCAATAAATATTTAAAAATATCTAAAAAATTGCAGTTTTATAATTACAGCCTATTACGTTCTGTATATCTATGGCAGAGTAACTTGTAATAGAAAAATGTCAAGAAACGTAATATTTGATTACCGATTATGGTAATCAGTAAGAAATTATAGACGAGAGTCGATCGATAGAAAATAAAAATAAAACAAGAAAAAATCTGTAAAATCTTGACGATGTACGTTTAAATCATGATGCTTTTTCAAGAGATTGATCGCCAAGTTTACCCCGGGCGAGTCTTCCAGTCTCTACCGAGTGAATCCTATTAAGTCGCGTCCTGCCTGTTGGGGAATCATTAGTTCCATATAGCTGCTAAAAGACCATTAGCTCGCGTCCATCTCCCGACGTTGCGGAGCACTGATCCGCGATCTTGCTTATCTCTCGGGACGGCACGGACGCGGACCAGGCCGGCACGGGGATATTTTTGCCGGTGGCCTATCCGGGCCGTTATCTTTCGCGCCGGTACGTACCGATAATGGTGGCAGTCATTCGCGGATGATACGCCGAGATAGCCCGGGCGATAGGCGAGGACGGAAAATGCGGCGGCGGCGGCGGCGGTGGTCGAAATCCGGCTAATGGTTTCACTGAATCAAACCGGGCGGCTGGGCGTTTAACGGGGCAAACAGACAGAAAATGGAGCGCGACCGCATATAAAGAGTCGATGATAACGAAATGATATATGGCGACCGCGCTCCCCGCTCGCTCGCTCGCTCGCTCATTCGTGCGAACGTATTTACGGGGAAGTGAGAACCAAGCCGAACCCCGGACGCGCGCTGCCTTGCACCCTGCCCGCACCTCCGGCCCGGAGGCCCTTTCGCCTCAGCTTCGCGCGATACACCCTCTATATAATGCAACTTCCACCCCCTCCGTGGCTGGTGGTGATTGATCGGCGTGGAGATACCGGGCGATATTCACCGCGGGATTAAGTGAATGCGCGGCCACTTAATAACCCTTATATTATATAGCCTTCTATCTCTCGAGTCGAGTAAATGCGCGCGCGCGCGCATGCTTTCGTTGTGTTCGCCGCTCGGGTATCATTAGGCCGTCGAAGAATAGCCGCGCAGCGCTCTATTCTCGCCGGTGAATTCTGATTATTTCTCGAGATTAGAGAAGTCTGGCGGAGTTTCGCTTTAAGGCGTGACAATCAAATGTAGAATGACATAAAATAGATCTTTTATTTTAACTATCGTATCTCAATTAGCTCAGACACTGACTTGCGAGAATCTTTAATAGGGCTAATGCGACGATTGAAGCGGAAGTTACGTCGGTCCCGCGAGAGAAGAAAATTCTCGGAGAAACTTAAGAATATATGTTTTCACTGTCGCGCTGCTTACCGAAGCGTTGCTTAATTATCTTCCCCGAGTAATGGCAGGATAATTCAATAGCGCCGTCTGATAATTATCGATTCCATTAGCTAAATGTGCTATAAAAATCGTTCCTTCTGGCAAGGTTTAATCTGCGACGGGGCGACGAAGAAGGAGGGGGGGGGGGAGGATGCAAACCGAACATGCTAATTGGATATGAAGTTTCCTCGGTAATGGCGTGTGCATGTAATAATATTGACATTAATGTGTCTAATGAAGGTTCGCAGTTTTTAATTTATTCCGTCAAAGGACAAAAAAGTGAAACGCGGATTTGTATGAAATATCTGTAATTGCGTTTCTTCTGCGACCATTTCTTCTGTTGTAGAATAATTTTAATTTTAGTTTATAATTTACTCTTTATCTCTTTTAATTCTTAGAACTAAAAAAACATAAAAAGTAAGTTAAATTGAGATTGAAGTTAGTATTGCTATATAAAAATGTACATTTTTTAAAATCTTTTGAATTTTTATAAATATTTCAATAGAGTAATCGTGAAAATATTAAACATTTAAAAGTACATTCTTTGGATTGTGCTTGGAAAATTATTCAAATTATAAGAAAGAAAACAGATTTAAACACTTATTTCATAACTCGAATTAAAATGTATTGAATCTGACAATATTGTTAAATGTTTTTTAACTTTTTATTTCGTTACTTAAAACACTCCATAAGATGTGAAAATATTGAACGTAAGAAGTAACGGCTTTCAAACTCCATTTACTTCGGAGCCTCGGTTTGTGCGAGTAAAGGGCTCCGGAATCTTTTATTTCTCGGGAATCGGAATCGCCGGCGGCGAGCGGTAGCGGAACGGGAACGATTGCTTTAATATTCAACGTCCGTAATAGCCGGACATGAGGTTTAGGATTCGTTCAATTATTCAAATCACCGCCTCGTTAGGTCGGTCTAAATCGAGATCTCGGTTATGTCCGGAGGTTGCCTGGGAGGAAATCTAAATTTGCTCGTCGTGCATTTAAATGTTGCAACGGCTACATATACGAAAGCATAATTTATGTATGTACCAACGAGGCGCGGCCCCCGATACCTAATCGATAGCGAACGCCACATTCGTAATCGATCGAAACAACATTAAAGACGTAACGCGGATAGCTCGTTCTCTCTCTATCTCTCTCTCTCTCTCTCTCTCTCTCTCTCTACCCGATCTTCCCTTTTCTTTCGATTGAGAGTATCGTTTTGCTAAAGAGAAATTTTTTAGGAATTAAGAGAGAAGCCGGGAGATTCGTTCGCGCCGGCGGCGTAAAGCTTTCCTAGAGACTTTAACGCTCGTTGCCGAGCTTTAAATAATGCATGAGCAACCAGTCAAAAAATAAGCGGCCAAGAGAGCCGGAAGGGAGTTCTTTCCTTTCTCCCGTCGGTCGGCACGCCGGAAATGAGAAACGTAGACAAGCAGACGCCATTCATTTCTGATTCAGGCGGAGCATTCGCCGAGATACGGAGGTCAGCTCGCGATGAACGGTGTAGGGTGTAATCGCGCGTAATGTCATAAATGGAGCTCTCGACTTGCGCTGTTTTCAAGAGAGAAAGAGAGAGAGAGAGAACGTTAAGAATAAACGGATATATTTAAATATATCTCCGATAATAGTTGAATTAAGCTCTAACTAAGTACAACAAAATTAAACATCGTTGCACATTGCTACGTTAGAACGTCGCCGGGGATACACTCGGCGGCGAGTCGGTAGGGTCTTGGTCATTTTCACGTAGGATTGCCTATTAGTGCTTAATCGGTGCTTGATTAAAAATTACAGATTAAAGCTGCCCCGCGGGAGTTTTCGACCCGGCACGACTGACCAAACCGTAACTGAGTTTCGCACACGTCCTCGGGCTATGTTGGCTAAATTCCTCGAGCAGATAATCATGAGGGTGGTACGTACTTCTACATCCTTGAGGTAGTAAGTAAGCCCAGCAACTTTCTAATCTCAATACGTTTTGGTCGAAAATTGTATTTTCATAACGGTAATGTATCCAACTCATGTTGATTATAAAATCAATTATTACATACAATTATACATTAATCACGTTTCAAATTTTATAATATAAATACTAAGAAATTAAATCCTACGCGAAAACAATTAAAAGTCGAAATTATTTTCCGTCTGATTTTCAAGAATTTTGTTCGCAAAATACATAGATCATGGGCAATGCTACGATTTTCCACGATTGTGGTAGCAGCCGATTAGATTCTATATAAAAATTACTTGCAGAAACAGAGGAAATTTAGATTATTAAAGATGGCGTTTTTCTCTCCCCGAAAAACTCGCGTGACGTGCACGTCAGGAGATGCATCTGGCCGGATTACATTGTTCATTTTCTCACACGCGCGCCCATACGATTAATTGTCGGCGAAACTCCGAACCGTGGGCGCGTAGCCGGCGCGAGTATTTAGCATAAAATGTAAAATAAGCCGCGGCTCGGGCATAAATTGTATTCCCATTAGGAGGGTAGCGGGGGCGCGGGCCGGGTGCATTTGAATACGAGCGGATTAAAAATTAAATATTACCGCGGAAAGGGCCGGCGATTAGAGCGCGCACGGCAGGAATGAAAAACCGTCCGTACTCGAAGGGCGGTGGGAAAGGCAAAGGGAGGACGCTGGAACACCGAAAGTTGCGCAAAATAAAGCGGACGGCGCCGTGACTCTTTGCAAAAAAAAAGAAGAGAGAGAGAGAGAGAGAAAGGGAGAGGAAAAAATTAAACGCTCTTTTAATAATTCGCAGCGGAGGCAACGAGGCGTTGTCCCGATTCGACGGCGAATTTTTTTGGCAGCTCGTCGACGCTTATATTCTCGCAATGGGAAACGGCGAGACCGTATCTTTGCGCGTCGTATCAGCGGCATTTTTATAAATGATAAAGCTTGGCTCTCAAGATATAGAAGCAAGAGTCTAATTTTCTACGGGTTACATAAATCTTTTAGAATCTTCCATTGCGAATCCCTCTCTTTCTCTTCCCTTTCTCTTTCGAAGCTCGAACTAATAAATCCGCGAACGCAGATAATCACAGCTGCAAATCGCCATACGCTCTCTCATGGCCGCGGTATCTGCCGCAACTGCCACGGCCATAACCATTTTTCACAATTTCTGACGCGGCGGCGGCGGCGGCGGCGGCAATGTGCGAGCCCCGGCACAAGTGGCCGTATCTCGCGGAGCTCTCTTTCTTCCGCGGGACATTAAGGCCCGGAGCGGCGCGGGCGAAACGGTTAACTAAGACATCAGTCATAATACGCGAGACAACCGGATGCCGAGGTAGGCAGGCAGGGGGGAGGGGGAGGGAGGGGGGCGTAAAGGGTCCTCGTAACTTCTCGTTTGCCCAGCTTTTGTTTGCGACGGCCCCGCCAGTCGCACCGGGGCGCGCGAGACGTATCTCTCCAGCGCGCAGAAACTACCTTTACGTCTCGACGGGATCCGTACATCAAAGTTTATAGGATAAGAACGAAGCTACACGCTGAAACGAGCGGGGGAGATTGCGGCCGTTAAACGTGGCTCGAGCAGCGGGATCGCGACTCGTGAATACTCGCGATTCCGCACGGAGTGACGCTAAATCACGTGGCGATCGTGAAAGCGCAGGATGGACGTTCCGCTTTACTTCGGGAAACTTCTTGTATTTTATAAATGAAAGGAAAATATGACATTCGAGTCAAACTTTTGCCACGTCGAAATCGGTTTTAATTAACAAGATATTATTTTGTTAGCAACAGAAAAGTAAAAAACTCGATGCAAGATAATTCCCAATTGTGTATCTATCATTAGTTTAAAAAATAAAGCAAGAAAATATGTTATGAGCATTCAGAATTAATATATGTATATACAACGGACCGAAATAAATGTCTAAATTTTCTAAATTTACATTATTTATAATTATTGTATCGATAAAAATTAAATCAGATCACGTTATTAAAGAAACTGAATGCTTCAAACATTTTTTTTTCAATTAAAAAAATAAAATTTGACCGACCTGTGTATTTATGCCACGGTTCTTGTTTGGTGACCTGAGATACTCTCATTTCAGGATTATTTTGTATTCTCGTTATCTCTTTAGACCGAGATAAGAGCGAGATTCAACCTGCGAATGTAAGTTCGAGGATACACTTTATATACGCCGTATTATCCGTCGGGTGCACTTGAAATTCGAATCGACGCAATCGCGGATGCGTATGCCCGTCTAACTTTCTAGCGCTGGCGCTTACCGTCGCGTAAGATAGACAAATGCGTTCTGGTCAGTTGGGAAAGCCTGGGCACGCAGCACGGGTCGGACCGGGAGATTTACAAGTTTAGTTACCGGCGATCACACCCCTGGGACCTCAGGCTGATGGGACGCGCCCGGCTATCGGTATGAAGTTTCGCCAGAGCTCTCTCTCTCTCTCTCTCTCTTTCTCTCTCTCTTCGTGCCGGAGTTTCCGCCGCCGTGGCAACTCTTTCCGAGGACGCCCGCGATCGTGTTACTGATCGATTTTCCGAAGGAACGATCCGGAGTGAATCGCCAAGAGTAAACCGTCGTCGAGATATTAGCGGCGAAAACGAGATACAGCCCCGCCGCTGTACGCTGACGTGTATACGTGTCCCGCGATCGATTGGTGCGACCGCAGGAGAGGATATCTTTGGGCGTCGTCGAAGGAGTCGTCGGCGAGCGCGAGAAACGATGGGACACCATCCGCCGACGTTCGTCGCCAACAAATCTCTCCTACCTCCTAACCGTTACGGATAGCCGGCCATTAGAGTGTCATTTTTTCCCACATTTATGAATGACCGGTCGCGGATAAGCCTCTGCGGGATATATCGCCGCGGGACCTTGGTGTGTTCCCCCTTCCCCCGCGCGCGCGCGCGCGAGCGCCCCGGCGCGCATTTGTTTGAATTACTTTATATCCCACGATTTTTTATTATCAGTATCTCCTTCGGCCACACGTGCCCGCGCGCTTTTCCGCCGCGAGCGCGCAAAACGTCTCTCCCTCTGGCAGAGAGAAATATACCGTGCGTTCTCGTCTTATCTGCCTTCTCGCGAGAGAAATCGCTCGTGCGTATCGGTCCGCGATTCCGCAACCCTCAACGTCTCGTGTAGTATTCGATTTCCATGAAGGAGAGCGAAAGGTACCATATATGCAGGGAGGTCTTCTTCAAACACACATTTATCTCTTATCACGTCTCGCAGTATTTACCGAACTTGAGCGAGCTACATCTTATAGAAAGTACCTGTGAAGGATGCGTGGTTATAAAAAAAAGGTTAGTCGCGCTGTTACAAATAAATCGAGAATGGGAGAGCGTGGAATCGCCGAATAATTTTCATTGGACGACCAATTACGTTAGGAAATGTTTAAATGTATAATTACTGTTATTAAACGCGAAAGAATTTAATCGCGTCAATCGGCAACCTCCGCGCCGGCAGCATCGCGCCACCGCAGAATACGGCGTCAGTTTCGTCCCGACGATAGTCGTGAGCGTCCCGTTTGGCTGTCCAAAACCGCGTCGCGTAATGGGAAAATTTGCGTAAACGACGGGGTCATTAAGCGCCCCCTCTTGCGCGCGCGAATGTGCGTGGCGGTCGCCAATGCGGAGACGGGGCTATAACTCGCGGTAATACCAACCTAACCGTGTACCCATGATTATAACGCTGCCAATTAGTCAAGCCGGCTTAGGATGGCAACTCTGGCCCCGGGACAAACGTCTATGTATACGTACATATGTATATTATACATATATATGCCCCGCCGTCGCGCGCAGCATCCACCGGTGCGTCAGAGAGAATCCGAGAGCGGTTTCGCTTGTAAGAACGGCCACTTGGAGATATCCGGTTTTGCCTTGCCGACAAAGCCCCGTTCTTGATTTTCAGTTCTGAACTAAACGGTATTCTATCAATATAAAATTTTTTCAGAAAAATTCTGCTGATGATTGCTATAAATGTTGGCCGAAGCGTACTCTATTTTTGTTTCATCTTTGTACATTATCAAAAAATTGACAATAATTCGCGCGCTAATTTCTCTTTCTCTATTAGTTCAATTATTTCTTTATTGTTTTGAATCGGGAATTCTATCATTTTCTGGAAAATGTTGCGTTACTTTTTAATTTTTTTCTTTTGTGTAAACTTCCATTGTGTCGTCTTTCAAATTAGAAAAATGAGACGACTATTGAACTTTCGTTAAGAAAGTGGCTTTAGACCTAAAGGAAACTTAGATGCACTTAGGATGTTCCATCTGCGTCCTCTTCGTAATAAAAGAATTGAGATTCGATCTGTTTATGACGAGCGACGTTGTACCGCGAGGTGATTAACATCGGCGTTTCGCGATACGTCGCGTGTCGCGACGTGGTGTGCTGGGGTAGCAGCAGCAGCAGCGGCGGTAGGGCAAGTTTAGTAATTATTTAGCTAAATTGCGGAACACTTGGTACCGGCGCGGCATGTGTTTGCAACCGGCGAAAAATCTCTGAATTAATGCTCCGCCATTAATTACGTTTATGAGTCCAAATTGTCTCGGTGTAGCCCGGAATTTATGCAAATGTAGTTATGCGAATTCGACGATCACGTCGGCGGAGCGCGGCGCCGCGCCGCCGCGGCCGCCACCAGAAAGCGCCGCGTGCGCGTTCTCGCCTAGAGCGTGTCTGTAATTTGCTACATAACGCGAGATACGTACGTGACGCAGCTGCAAACATCCCAAGTACAACGGGTAGAGTTTTATCGCTCTGCGCAAGCACTGCGCGCGCGAGAGTTCCCTTCGAAAAATAATCCTACGCGCGGGGAATTGAACAGTTGGAAGGATTAAGACAGTAAAATCATTAAAATGCCTAAGCCACATTAAATTATTTTTATTTCATTAAAAGTTTGATGTTGCTTTTAATTTCTGTCCATACAAAATACATATATTGCTGCATTGATAGAAAAGTGGC